GTGCAAAACGGAAAGGCCAGCTGTTGCACTTTACTTAAACGAATTACCAACTTAAAATGTGTTAATTCGGCAGTCAGGACAGTCATCACTCACCCTAAAGAGGGTTGCCTCAAATGGCTCCATGGCACCATGTCGGAGCCACCATGGAAAATCACACTAGACAAGAATGGATCATTATATGATCCGGCAGGAACTGAATCCTGAAACATGCAAATCTGATCCTGAATAGTTTCCGCGTCCACGATCTTCAGCAAAATATTCCAAATACATCGGCGACATAGTCGGCGAAATAATCCAAATAATCGAAAATACAATCGGCGAAATAATCCAAATAATCGAAAATACAATCGGCGACATGATCTCGGCGAAAATACTGAGGAAGGTTCTGATGCATCAAAAACAGATTGGGCAACCGTGAAGAAATAAAACTATAGTGTTTGGGGTTCTGAGCTTGGCCCCTTGCTATGTCAGAAAATGCAGGTACGTCATCCTGGCGTCCCAGAATGATTTCACACTTCTCAACAGGCGTCTTCGTTGGCCTGAGTCCTGTTGAGAAGCCTCAGGCCCCCTGCATTAGGTTTAAAAAGGGAGAGGACAGAAGGAAGAAAAAGAGAGAAGTTTTACATCTATTCAGATGTTACACACACACACACATATATATTGCCGTCATGTGGGGTTCAACCGATTTCCCCTCGCACCAACTCTTGTACGAGACCAGCCTAACATCATTGCAACATTTCGGGTCCTTTGACCCGCACAGGTCACAAGAGATAGTGGTCCGGCCGCGCAACCAAGAGAAGCTAGGCGGGGAGGGGCTTTTTCTTTAAAGCGCGTGAGGGGTACACGAATATGTGATATGTACATATTTGTATTTGTATTAGCTTTTTACACACACATGACACATGTGTAAATGCAATGCAATGTTTTGCAATGTTATGAAATGTTACAAGACTGTGATGTAATGTCCCGCAACGTAACGCTATCTATTGTTTTGTAATGTCATGTCAGCTTATGTGATCTTATGTATACTTATGCCGGAAAACTTGCAACAACCATAGGAAATCATAGGAAAGTTTTGAGATGCAGAAGCAATGAAGTATTGAAGTTGTGACGCGCATCAACGAATGAGAAAATGGTTGTTGAGATGCCAATGCAGTGACATGAAAAGTCCCACGCGCAGCTGATTGAACGAACAAATGAATCAAAGAATCAATGAATCAGTGAAGCAATGAACTAAACCAACGAACCAACGAATCAGTGAATCAACGAATCATTGCATTTTTCCGACCTCATCCTCCAAACGTGCTCCGATCCCCTCCGTTTTTTGCAATGCTTTTGTGAAAGTGATCTCTCCCTACAGTCTCGTGCGCGTTTTTCCGACCTCTTCTTCCAAAAGTGCTCCACGCACCCGAGTTTTTAAAAAGTCTTAAAGTGCAAACCGAGCTCACGCTACAGGTAGACTTTTTGTTGACAACTTTTCCAGATCGAGGCTCGTGGTTGTGAAACACAGCCCTACTTCGCCGACTCCAAGAGCCACACCACCCGAAAAAACACAAGGTTTCGCGCCCGGGAATGTTTTCACACGTCAATTCACACACGCACACACGCTTCCGAACTGTTACGTTTCCCAACTACTTGATGATGGGTGGTTGACATGATGATGTGGTTGACATGATGGCGTGAAAGCTAACCATGACCATCGTCCGTAACTCGGAAGTTTTCAAACTAAATTTCATGTGATAACCTTATGCAATGTTATGATGTAGAAAGAAAGTATTGCAACGCATGTAATGTAATGTTTTTGTTAAAATCTATGACATGACTGTTATGTAATGCTTTGCAATGCTACGCGGGTTCTGCAATGTAACGCAATGTAAGGGCAATGCAACAAAACAGTAATGCAAGGTGTATCGCGCTGCAATGGAATGTATTGATGTATATAATACATGTAATGCATGTACTGTATGTAATGTAGGTAGTATGTAAGGTACGTAATGCATGTAACTAATTTAAAGTAGTGTGAAACATTGTCATATAACGCGATGCAGTGCCATGTAGTATGCTGCAGGTATGTAAATACTATGACTATGTATAATATGTGTTTATGCACAGACAGCATTAATAGTAGGCGCAGTTGCTTACTTCTTTATTTATCGCTATCACCATCTCCTTGTCTATCTTCCTATTCCTTGATCGATCAATACCGATCAAACAGCCAACTGTAACGAGTAGTATACAATTAATATTAATCAAGTATTTGTCGACCTGTCAATTTCTCCCATGTGTTTGTCCGTCATATCTCCATGAACGCATCGGTTTCATCACTGACGTCGCAGGACTGCTTCAGTGCAAGGGCAGCCCAGGTGAGGTTGTCTTGAGAGCTTGGAAAGAAAGTGGCCTGGCTTCGTAATGAGCTGGGGGATGCCGTGGGCTGAAACTTAGAGGATCACATTTCGAAAGCGCAGGGTCTGATGATGCCGGTTCTTCCATGGCATGCTTGGCATGCCGAATATGGCCCAGGTTCAATCCAATTATTGCCGAAATTGTGGTCCTTCTCCTTGCCGGAGTCTGGCTTAGATCCCAAAGTCGTCTCTGCATGGCTGCAGGTCCTGGTGGGAAGAATGTTACCATGGAAAATGGATGAGAATGGCGGAAAACGGTGAAAAACTATTGGAGTTTAGGGCAGCCCATTCTCGGATAAATCCATAAGGAATTCATGGTAGCAATTTGAGACGTTTTGGTGGTTGGCAGAAATTTCTCGGGGACAATTGCGGGAAAGGTGGCGGTTTTGAACGATTGGCTCGCATCATCAGAAAATGTTTGGGGAGCGTGGGTGATTGGCTCGCGGCTCAGAGAGATTTGCCTCGAACCTAGGGCCTAGAAATTAGATGGCCAACAATGTCTTTCTACTGTGTACCATCCGCCTAACTCGCATAGATCTTGAAAAACAGTACCTTTTGGGAACGTAGCCTTCCAACCCCCAACTCGTTGAAGAGTCTATATTAGAACCATCCCCAAGAAGAGACCCAAAAGTGCATCCAGGAGGTTAGCTCGATGATATTTGATAGCTTGAGGAAGGAAGTTTATATAGACGACAAACTTCCGACTTATGGACGGGTGCAGCAACAGCGGTGAGAAGAGTCAGAGAAAAGAGAGAGTCAGAAGAAAAAGAGGCAGAGAAGAGACAGTCAGTAGAAAGAAGATCCAAAATGCTCGAAAATTTAGACAAGTCGCAAAAGTGGGCTTGCCAAAGCGGCGGGTGCCGAGCCTCCTGGCAGGATGAGAGATCGAAAATTGCACGCGGATGTGGCGCGAAGCGCGTTTGGAAGTCATAATGTTAAAAAGCACCTCAGGTTCCGAGCACTTTTTGCAGTGGAGCTGTCCAAAAAGTGCATACGGCTGTGGCGCGAAGCGGATTTCCAATCGTCAACTTCTTCCAATAATCACGGAGAAGGCAGGAAAGACAAAGGAGATGGTGGAGAATCGACAGTTTTCGAGAGAGAGGGAGAGGGACAGGAAGAGTGAGAGGGAGAGGAAGATAGAGAGATAGAGAGAGAGAGAGAGATAGAGAGACAGAGAGATAGAGAGAGAGAGAGAGAGAGGCAGAGAGAGAGGCAGAGAGAGTGACAGAGAGAGAGGCAGAGAGAGTGACAGAGAGAGAGAGACAGAGAGAGAGAGAGAGAGACAGAGAGAGAGACAGAGAGAGAGAGAGAGAGAGAGAGAGAGAGAGAGAGAGAGAGAGAGAGAGAGAGAGAGAGAGAGAGAGAGAGAGAGAGAGAGAGAGAGAGAGAGAGAGAGAGAGAGAGAGAGAGAGAGAGAGACAGAGAGAGAGGAGACAGAAGAGACAGAGAAGGACAGAGAGAGAGATAACAGAGAGAGAGAGACGAGAGAGAGACAGAGAGAGAGAGAACCGAGAGAACATAGAGAGAGAGAGAGAAGACAGAGAGAAGAGAGACAGAGAAGAGACAGAAGAGAGACAGAGAGAGAGACAGGAGAGAGACAAGAGAGAGACAGAGAGAGAGAGAGAGAGACAGAGAGAGAGATAGAGAGCAGAGAGAGAGAAAGAGAGAGAGACAGAGAGAGACCCGAGAGAGATCAGAAGAGACAGAGAGAGAGACAGAGAGAGACAAGGAGACAGAGAGAGACAGAGAGAGAGAGAGAGAGAGACAGAGAGAGAGACAGAGAGAGAGACAGAGAGAGAGACAGAGAGAGACAGAGAGAGACAGAGAGAGAGAGAGAGAGAAACAGAGAGAAAGAGAGAAACAGAGAGAAATAGAGAGACACAAAGAGAAGGAGATATAGAGAAGGAAACACATCGAGAGAGAGAGAGAGAGAAAAAGACTCAGAGCCTCAGCTATCTTTGGGTCCATCATGGGGTTCGCTCTACCATCCATCATCATCCATCCATGCGTCGCAATAACTCACCTTCCCTATAGGTTTCCTATGATTGAAACTTGCGCCACCGCCTTGTGCAGTATTACAGGCAATAGATATTTCCAGGTTTAAACATTTACGAGACTTGGAAATACCTACGGGTTATATAATATACGGTATATATCTTTTTAATCTTTTTTATATTTCATAGATATATCAAGGGTTGGGCTCTATGTTAAAGCAAAGGTTCACTGGAATTCCTGCCAGGGTCACATTTCCTGGGGTTTCTGCCTGGTCCACTTGGTCGATGGACTTCTACGCAAGGGCTCCACGGAACGGGGCTGGAGCCTTGCCGCGGACTTGTTTGAAAATTGGGGACGGCCGAAGTTGCTGGTTAAATCATCAGTCTCCCTACTAAAGTGGCCATTTGGGGGTATGTACTCCGCTTTCAGACAACATCGTAACTTCCTCGTATCGCCGACAGGAACATCCAGAAACCATGTTTTCCTGCCATGTTTGGGCTCCCGTCTGAGGGGTGGTCTGTACAATTTTGTGTTTGGAGGCTTGGATGAGTGCAAGTGATTCACATTTGTGGGTTCTTGTTTTTTCGCGTTGAACATGTTATGGAAAACTGAGATGGAAAATGATCCTTCTTGGCAGTCACCAGCTGGCCCATTATGCATGGCATCTTGGTCAGTATGTAAATAACTAAGTAGATACCTACATGTGGAAATAAACAAACAAAAAATAAACGAGTACTGTACATACATCAAAAAATGAATACATAGATAAATTAGATAAATGCATAAATAAGTAAATACATGAATCAAAGAATGAAAAACAAAAAAATAAAGCGACACGAAACAAAATGAAATGAAATGAATGAGTAAATGAGTGAATGCATGCATGCACGAACGAACGAACGAACGAACGAACGAATCCATGAATGCATGAATATAGATACAAACAAACACATACATATTGCAGCATTGCCATTGCGCAGTTTCAAGTTCAAGGCCTGCACCCAGTTTTTTTGTTTTTGCTGAGAAACCGAGGAAGACCACTGATGTGGCCAACGACTCGCGAAACATGCCCGAAGTCACAGTTGAGCAGCTCAATAGCCAGGACGGAAGTGTTTGGAATTGTAGTAATGGTTGAAAAATCATAGGGTCTTTCAGCATGTAAAAACTGGGAATGGTTTCGCACCACATAATACTCGCACCATTTCCGGTCAAATTGTGAACTCGGGAATGGTTCTTGTTCGGTTTGGCACATCAGTTGCTAAGGGGTTCCAGGGTTCCACCGGTCCAGGGGCGTCAAGCTTTGGTGGATCATTTGATGCTCAACGCCAAGCCGTGGTTGCTGGGAACGCTGGCAGGTGGCCTCGTGAACTTGCCAGCAACTTGACTGTGGAAAAGGGTCTTGGGGTGGTTTGGAATGCACACGCGAGCACCAAAGACAAAAAACTGTTTGGCAATTCTACCGGAAAAGCAGTTAAAAAAAGGCCATGAGATACAGAGCACTGGGCTATGTACTGCGGAAGGCTGGCATGGTGTAGTGCGGAGCATTGCTCAAAAATTGAAGCAAACATTTCAAAGAAGCAACAAATCAGTCTGGTAACCCCCTCTCCAACCGAGAGCAGCCAAAGAAGCAGCCCATCAAAAAATAAAAAGAAACAAAACAAATACAAGCCTACCCAGAGTTCCATTCCAGCACCAGATGCTGACTGGCAGTATTTGGTTTGGAGGTGGCAGGTGCTCCGACGAAGCCTTGAATCTCCCTCTTGGCCGACTAAAGCCAACCAGTGAAGCTATCAACGGTTTGATCAGACAATCAGCGAGCAATTGTTCCAGCAATCAGTGATGTCTTAAAATTCAATTTCACCAGACCATCTCTTAGCCAATCACTAGCAATCAGCGAGAGGCCCAGACAGCAATCACACAATCAGCTAACAAGTCAAACACTTGGTTCAGTCGGCAGAGGACCACCTGATTTCGTGGTTCTCATTTCGCAGTGTGACTGGATGGTAGTTGGTCAAATCCACGTTGTTGCTGGTTCAACCATGTGGGTTTGTGCAAAACTTGCGGTAGATGACATCATATCTCAATCAAACGGGAATTTTCGGGCTACACCCTGTCCATAAATGGGCTATTCATGGGATGTTAATGGGCTATCAGGGGGCCATTCGCTGGTTTACAGGGTAATAACTTGGAGCAATTTTCGACATTCCTGCAGGGCTTTGAGAAGAGGGAATTGGCGGAGTTCCTTCCGGCACCCAAAGTGTCTCCCGAGCAGGTGGGGGGGACGCGACGTTTTCCCCTGCTCTCTTTTTTTTTTTGGATGAGGGAATCCATAGAACTGTTCCGGTTTGATGTGCCATGTGTCACAGGGCCTGGGCTGTGCTTGGTTGGCTTGGTTGGCAGGCAGTGGAGGATGCTTTCCACTGGTTCTGCCAAGGAATCTTGGTTTCTTGAGTATCCTGAAGGGGAGCAGAACTCGAAGCCAGAGACCCTTTGTTTTTTTTTTTGCACTTGGGAACACGTGGGACAGTTGATGCCCCGGAACCTACGCCTTTCGGTGTTGGGGTTGGTTCTTTGCCTTCGCAACGCCTCATTCACATGCCAAGGATTCCCAGATCAGGAGGGAAGGGAGTGTGAGGGGGAGGCTTTTTCGAGGCTTGCAGCTGTTTTTCAAAACGAGGCCCCTTATGAACAGCCGAACGGCCATGAATATAAAGGTTGTTGGAATTGGATAGTTGGGATATGTTGGGGTGGGATTTTGCCGCTCTGAGGCGAACCCGCACCTATTGTCCAGTAGTTGGTGGCCCTTGGGCTTGCATCCCGGGTATTTGGATGATGACTTACCCACAAGAATAATACGTGGAGATAGCCATGGATATTCCATGGATTACGAAGTTACAAAACACTCGGGGCACTTTACGGCCAGGAGCAATCTGCGTTGCTGGTGCAGAGTCACCAGTCCCTGGTGCTGGCCATCTCCTACCGACGGCTCCAGTTGAAGGCGGGTCATGAAAATGGGGAGCTTGACCCAGATGAGATGCACCAAGACAAAATCCTTGGGAAATCCACTCAAGCCACTCCTTGATGCAGGTTTTGGGTACCATTCTGGCTGCAGTATCCTCAACTGCCTTAACTCTTGAGATGCAGCAACTCCGTAGCTCTTGCTGCAAGGCGCATCCAGTGGTCAGCTCCAGCAATGCCGCCAAGTGCCTTGGAAAAGTCGGCGACAGGGATTTGGATTTGGCATTTCTTCAAAATAGCTACACCCCTCACATCCCATCCTAAGCTTGTTCAGAGAAAACGCTGAAAATTGTGGATTGGTCCGAAAACGTGATATATCATGGTATAATGATGATATATCCACACAGGCACAGGCACACAGACACACAGACACACAGACACACAGACACACACACATACACACAGACACACACGGACATACACACACACATACACACATACACATACACACACATACACATACACATATACATATATATATATATACACATACATACATATACATATACATACATACATACATACATACATCCATACATCCATACATCCATACATCCATACATCCATACATCCATACATCCATATATCCATGCATGCATGCATACATCCATCCATACATACATGCATACATGCATACATGCATACATGCACACATGCATACATGCATGCATGCATGCATACATGCATCCATACATACATAGATACATATTATATATACACATAAATACATAAATACATAAAATACATACATACATACATACATACATACATACATACATCATACATACATACATACATACATACATACATACATACATACATAATACATACATACATACATACATACATACATACATACATACATACATACATGCATGCATGCATGCATGCATGCATGCATGCATGCATGCATACATACATACATACATACATATATGTATATATAGCCTCGTGCAGGCTTCTGGAACTACCTAAACCTGAATTAGGTTGGTAAAACTTGTCCATTCCATGACGAAATTTCGTCGCGGAATTAACAAGTTTCATTAGGGTCATTATCATCATCATCATCATCATCATCACATCATCATCAACTGCTGCCGCAAGTTCACATGAATGTTAACATCGAGCCGCAAGTTCACATGAACGTTAACATCCCACCCCACCCCCCCCACCCCGCGTGTGCGTAGCATCAACTGCTGCCGCAAGTTCACATGAACGTTAACATCCTGCCGCAAGTTCACATGAACGTTAACATCCCCCCCCCCCCCCCCCCCCCCCGCGTGCGTAGCATCAACTGCTGCCGCAAGTTCACATGAACGTTAACATCCTGCCGCAAGTTCACATGAACGTTAACATCCCACCCCACCCCCCCCCACCCCGCGTGTGCGTAGCATCAACTGCTGCCGCAAGTTCACATGAACGTTAACATCCCACCCCACCCCTTTACCCCAAGGTTTAGGTAGTTCCAGAAGCCTGGACGAGCCTATAAAAACATGCATACATGCATACATGCATACATTCAGACATGCATACACACACACATATATATATACTTATATATATATACTTATATATATATACTTATTTACATTTGATATATATATATAGGTAAATACATATATATCTATATGTAAATATATGTATATGTATACTTGTAGATGTATACGCACATATCTATATATATATATATATGTATATGACATATTCATAGTTGTTTATATACACAGCTTTCATCCCAAAATAAACTATAAATAATCATGCGCATGGATATGCACCCACATAATTATAGTTATTTGTATGTACATTTTGTATCCCTAAATAACCCCTAATCCAGCCCTAAACAAACCCTGATCAGACCCTAAACCAGCCCTAAAGAAACCTTAAACCAACCCTAAATAGACCCTAAACAAACCTAGAAGAAACCATAAACCAACCCTAAATAAACTTTAAACCAAGCCCTGCATTTAAATAAATAAATAAATAAATATACATATATATATATATATTAAATACACGTGTAAATACACTGATATACATATACATAATGTCATGATTGGTGATGCATATACACCTCTCTACATCTACAATTTATAGTTTGCACATCGTGTATTTCCGAAAAAATGAAAACTTTGGAAAAAGCGATGAAAACAATGTAAAAACCAATGAAAGCCCTGGAACAATCAATGAAAACTCTGGAACAATCAATGAAAACAAGTGAACACTGAATGAAACCCATGCACAAATTGAAAAAATACATAGAACAAATGAAGAAAACCATTGAACAATGGAAGAAAACCATGGAACAATCGAAGAAAAACCATAGAACAAGTGAAGAAAACCATGGGAAAATTAAAGAAAGCCATGGAAAAATTGAAGAAACTCATGGACAAACCAATGAAAACGATGGAAAACTCGATAAAAACCATTGAACAAAATCCTGAAACCAGTGGAAACATGAATGAACAGTACGAATGAGAGATTTTAGCTACAAAATGCAGCAAATGAGTATATATATATATATTTGTGAAAATAAATCTCTCTCTCTCTCTCTCTCCCTCTCTCCTTCCTCCAAACGGTAATCTTAACGGGGACAACGATGAATCAATGGCCTTCGGCATGCAGGATGGTGCAGGCGGCCGTCAAGATGGAGACTCTCCGTGCGGCGGCCTCGAAGGACATGCTCTATGGCCAGGAGAAAGCCGATTCACATTTTACAAAGAGAAGTTCCTTGGGCTTGAGATACTGAAGAAATTGATAGAAATCCTGCAGTTGATAGATCTGATAGGTGTTTTAGCATCCAAGCTGGTGCAGGAGTTCTTCCATCCACAGTATCATCGGGGGTGTATTAGGTTTATGGGTTTATATACGGCGGTATTTATATATATATATATATGGTCACCCACGTCGACTCCCTTCATCTATATATAACATGTTACTGCATGTATCCAATACAGCTAAAATACTGTAATTTACAGTGTTTTTGTTAGTGTCAAGATATGTTACAAATCAACCTTTAAACATTCAGGTTGCATTTTTGATCAACTTTTCGTTTGATTTTTTAAGCTTAATGGCTTCAGTCTTTTTCCCAACACTTGTCCATCCTCACAGCTTTCTTCTTTCATTGCAGTGCAGAGCCAGGTCACGTTCAACAGGGTTCCGGAGAAGGCTTTGGTGCAGAGCCAGGTCAAGTTCAACAGGGTTCCGGAGAAGGTTCCGGAGAAGGTGTGGGAGGCTTTGGTGCAAAGCCAAGTCAGGTTCAACAGGGTTCCGGAGAAGGTTCCAGAGAAGGTTCTGGAGAAGGTTCTGGAGAAGGTCGGGGAGGCTTTGGTGCAGAGCCAGGTCAGGTTCAACAGGGCTCCGAAGAAGGCAGGTCAGGTTCCGGAGAAGGTTCCCGGAAAACTTTGGTGCAGAGCCAGGTCAGGTTCAACAGGATTTGCGGCCATTTAACTAACGGAAACCCAGCTGAGGTGTTTCCAGCGCTTGGCTCCGCAGCACGTTTCAGAAAAAAATGTAAAAATAAAACGTTGCGGCAGTTGGGGATACCACCGAAGCTTATTTATGTTTTTTTTTTTTTTCTGTTTACTATCCCCAAGACCTTTGTTTTTTATTTTCTCCAAAGTTTTTCTCTTTTACTGTCTGGATCCTTTCCCATCCACGGAACATCTGGAAATTGTCCTCTGATCTAACTTTAAGTTCACACTCACAGTGATCTTCTCGGCAGGACACAGCCAACATGGACATTTCAGAAAGAGCCTCTTCCAAGACCAACTTCCTTACAATGTCAAACCATTGAACATACATTCATGTCACAATTTGTTCTGCGTGGCCTTGTTCCTTGGATGTCTGCATGTGAACGGTCTCAAACTCAATGGACCTTTGACCAAGCCAAGTCGGACCGTGAAGTAGGTGATGTGACTGTGGGCGACTTGCCTCTGAGGGACATGGTCGGCACAGGTGGCAAGGTGGAACAATTCGCAGATGTGAACCTCAACGTCTCCTTGGACCCCACACAAACATTTTGGGACAACACCATCTACTGTCTGTGTGCGCAGGCCAAGTTTTTAGAATTGCCACCACCATTCTGCCTGAAGTCCGGGCCAAATGTCCCTTACAGCATGCATGCAGATCATTGTCATCATCCCATCCACCATTCAACATCGTGAAGCATGTCTACCTGCGCAAAAACAAATTGTGGTCTAAGGATTGCATGTCTCTCTGCCAAGGTCCCCCTTTGAAGTTTTATTGGGGGGGTACCAGCCAGGGAATGGCTTGATGGCACTCAACCACATGTTGGACAGGATGGGTGGCATGCAGGTCCATCTCTGTGAAGATTGGGAAGAAGCTCAGCCTGGATCAGTGTGCACGGGAAGCGGGCTACAAGTTCATCCGTGACATTGGGCCCCGCCCCAACAATCGTAACCAGTTTATGGAGTGGGCAGATGAGCAAGCCTGGAGGTTGGAACGAAGGAAAAGCACAGAAAGCCCTCAATAACTGCTACAGAGGCAGACAGAAGGCCAAGACATTGGAGTATTGGCCGTTCACTCTGAAGTCCTTCGTGCCGTGGTTCCGTCATGATATCTTGGTCAAAATGTTGCCTACAATGCGTCAACATGGCATCACTTGGATCAGGAAGACACGGGCAGGCAAGTCTTTAGGTTCCAAGACGGTGCTCTTTGCGCAGTCTCGCTTTGAGATTGAGGCGGCTGCGCGCTCAGATCTTGTTCCCAGCATCGTGACGGCGAAGCACTTGGATTTTTTCAAAGCGGAGCCGATCAGTAAGTTTCAGCCCGGTGTCTTCGATGATGGCCTTCTCCTTCCTGAAAGCGTTCCTGAACCCCAGGGCCCCTTGTCTGCACTAATGTCATGGTCAGCAAGCTTCTTGTCTATTTGTAAATCTCGCTCTTTGCTGGGCTATCACTTTCTTTGCTTGCCACACTGTTGCATTCACATTCTATGTCTACCACTTTGCTTCGCTTTGCAGGAAGAAGACGCTACCGTCTGGGCGCGCTACAGTTCGATCAGGGTGCTGGAAGGCACGCCTGCAACAATCCATACAGTGCCAAGTCGGAAACCGAAATCTTGGAGAATGCATCCAAGCCGCCAAGATGAACTGCATCTTCTACAAGGACTTTTTGGACCTCATTTGGTGGTGTGGAAGATGCCGAGGATATAGCTGCGATTCTTGCTCGAACACATTTGATCGTGTTGACCGGCAAAGGCGTGTATTGGCGCCTGGCCGGCACAGCTACAGATGATGTACCTTTCAATTCGTGTGTGAATCAATCCAAAGATCTCTTGGTCGATGCACAGAAACCTATCGTCAAAGCCTACAAGAAGGATCCGGATGCCCACCGTCTGCCGTCCAATTTCCATGAAAATTTTGTCTGGTCTCACGAATTGCTTCGCAATTTGCTATCAGGTGAGGAGATTCCTCGCACCATCACCATCCGCGGGGGTTCTTTGTTTGGTGCTGGCCCTGTTGAAAGGCAAGAAGTGCCACATTTATTGCCACAGGCTGAAATGCGCAGCAGAGTGAAACAGGAACAGGTGACTCAAGTGTTCCGCAACTTGAAGCGGCCTTCTCCACTGAAAAGGCCTCGTTCAGCAGTCTTTGCAACAGAGCCAATCGCTGATTCATTGCCAGGCATGGAAGTGGACGTGGACATGGATGATGGCTCTCCGGCACCGGGCGAAGGAGATGACCTGGAGATGGCTGTCGAAAGTATGATGGATGAGGAGGTGAACAACGAGATGTGAGTGCGCGCACCGTAGATGGGTCTGTCGATTCGAAACATCTAGATACTTAGAGCTTGTTGTGCTGCCCTGCAGATTTTGACACGAAGAGATTGCAGCTTTTGATGTCGGTGAGCCGGGAAAAAGATTGTCTTCAAGTCGCGCTGCGTTGCTGTCAACTCTCGCTCATTCAAGCAGTTTTACCAGATTGGCATGTTTCGCTTGCGTCCATTATGTTGTTGCAGCTGCACCACTTCGTTTAGCTAATCTGCGCGGTGTTGTCTAAGGATGCAGATTTCTAGCGCTTCAAACTCTCTGTTGGACGTTCATGTTCAGAACATGTCTTTTTAATTCCTGCCTGTCTCTTGCAATGGCCACCGTGTGATTTGACAGCTTTTGGCTTGAGCTCGGTACTCATCTAGCCTAGTGCTTTGTAATTGCAGGTGTGCTTTGCCTTTCACACCGAAATTCACCATGAAGTATCGCGGTGGTAGCACCTGGCCAGTCCCGAAGCGCTGCAAAAGTCGAGCCCAGTGCGACACCAAGGTGTGCAGAAGAAGTTTCGTAAGGAAAGAATACGTTTCGGTGTGTGGGTTCAAGGCCTCATCCCCATGCATCCACAGGCTTTGCTTCGGCAGCTGCAAAAAGACAAGGTGCTTCCGAAGTGGGCAGGAAAGACTTGTCCCCATTGTGGTGTTGGCAAGCTTGGGCCTTGCGTTTCTCCCACGAGAGAGAAGTCTGGACGCACAAGTGCGGAGCCAAGCGGTGCAGGAAGTTCATTCAGCCTCATGACTTCCATCCTATCTTCTTGAATGGGCATGGAGCTGGGTACACGCCATATCACGCTACTGGGCCAGCAAGCAGCTGTTCTATGTAACGCCCTTGTAGGTGTGCCAGTCACTTCATCCTCGATATGAACCACAAGCCAATGTCACGAACCTACACAAACCTGGAGATTGCTCGCAGCCAGCATGTCTTCAAAAAGCAAAAGCACATCAAGCTTAGAGCTAAGCACAACTGGTGTGATGTCGAGGCAGATGAAGTTGATGTGGGCAAAGAAGTTGATATGAAGAAGAAAACAGCGCGGTGGGAGCAATGGGGTGGCCTAGTGGAACCTGGGCATCCCAAGACATTAGTGCTCTTCTGGCTTCCTTCGAGAGCCACTGCTGTAAGATCCCCTGGCCCAGGTCCTATCGCCAAAAGGGACTGGAAGCCTGTTGCCAAGAAGTTCCTGGAGGGCCGCGACGTCATCTTGCAAACCGATGGCGCAAAGGCGTACAAGATGAAGATCACAGGTGTGCTGCGAGACAGTGTGGTGCACAAGAAGAAGAAGATCGTGGTGAGAGGCAGAGCAGTTTGGGTAAAACCCCATTTGACCAGAACCCGGACACACAAGCCGCCCAGCGGGGAGTAAGTGACAGTGAAAGCTGGCACTCAGATCATTGACCGGTTTTGGGGACATTTGCGGTCATATTTAAGATTCGCAGCTAGATTGGCTCTGCTATTCTAGCTCGCAAGGTTCGCGCTGCACAGTGGACGTACCGCGCACAGAACCTCTGGTCAGCCACAGGCCAAAGGCTCTAGGAGCTTCGTGGCTAGATTGCTGCTTATACCTGACCTACATGCTGTTGCAAAAAAAGTGTGCTCGTTGTGCGTTCCGACTGCCTAGACTTGTCCACCATGTTCGTTACATCCAAAGCTTGTGTTCTCAATTTTTCTGGTGTTCGACTGCGAGTTTCCACAAACCAAATCATGGCATGAAAACTGAACCTTCAAAAACATTGCACCATCACATGATGTCTCGCATGTCTGCTGTCTGTGTCTGCTGCCCCTGATCCTACAAAGCCTTCCTTTCCACTCAGCTTTACCTTCTGCATCTTCCTCAAGAAGCGCGAAAAAAATTAAAGAAAAAGGCGAACTTTAACATGAAAAGCATGTTGTCGAAATAGATGCGATAGGCCTTAGTCGTGTAGCCCCGTGGATCAAGGTTCCTGTCAGACTGTCAGAACCTTTGTCTTCACAACGGCATTTCGGCCAGAGCCACTTGCAAAGGTCAAACCTCCAAGGAAAGACCTCAACGATGCAGAGACGGGTTCCTTGTCAGAGTCTTTTGACTTTGATTTCGAAAGCGTAGCGCCCAGGGAGCTGAACGAAGAGTGCCTGGAATGAGCTTTTGTCTTCGCAGTTTTGTTGTGTTGGTCTTATCCTTTGTTCTTTATTTCTTCACCTTCTCACTTCAAAACTAAAGATTGCGCTGCCGTCTCCTTTCCGGCAGCGGAGCCGAACACCCCCTCGATTTGTGCTGCGGACCCCTCCTGGGCCTCCACCTCGCACCATTGTTTTCCACTTGAACTCCGAGTGAGTTGCTAGGGTCTCCACCTCGCACCCCAGAAAGCCAATGAGCTCATACACTTTAACCTCCGCCAAATTTCCATGACCTTCTCGACATTCGACGTCCCTCACCAAAAAGTTCTTCAAAGTTACTGTCTATGTGGCAAGCTGAACCTATGTGTTTTCTAAGACACCTTCGTGGAAACATGTCAGTCGGAGTAAATTATGAGCATGAGCTCACACACACACACACACACTTTAACCTCCGCCAAGTTTCCATGACCTTCTCGACATTCGATGTCCCTCACCAAAAAGATCTTCAAAGTTACTATGTGCCAAGCTGAACCCATGTGTTTTCTAAGACACTTAGTGGAAACTGTGGAAACTTGTCAGTCGGAGTAAATTATGAGCTGGTTGCTAGTGACAGGTGTGGGAGAGACAGTCTCTTTGGGCACGGGGGGTCGTGGTAGGGGCTGTGCATATATATATATAAGATTGTGTTATATATATATTTTTATATATATATATTTATATATATATATATATGCATTTTAATGTGTATATATATATATACATGCATGCATACATACACATACACATACACATACAGTATACCATAACCAATGCTTATTTGCTTGGTGGTTTCAACGTTTTTCCTTCAAGGCCTAGCAATCGGATGATGATCCGGATTGAGGTCTGCAATTTGCAATATTTTTCCGATGGGTTGAAGCCGCCAACCAGTGGTAGATTTGTAGCCCTGATTTATCTGATGATGGAATGGATGGATGCAGATGAGGTGCCCGTTTTCCAAGAAGACGCATGGATGATGGTTCCCATAGTTGGCTGAAGTGAACATGTACAGGAACTGGAACCCCATATCTGATGGGAATCGTGTTTCCCAGTTATTTTTTTCCCAGCGGATTCATGGACTGATGGATGACGACTGATTTACTATATATATATAGACTATAGATAAATTATAGATCATTTGTATATAGATCAGTTATAGATCAATAATAGGTCATATCTTCCATTCTGTTTGGCGCTGCTTCGGGCGATCCCAGTTAACCAACCTATTTGATTTTTTTCTTGCAGCTACCGGCTGAGGCGAGCTCTCGGATTGGGATCTCTGGCGGCTCATGGGCTTGATGCAAAGCTGCATGGAGCAGAGCAGTGAGCTTCGAAGCTTGGAGCGTTTTGAAATGGGGTGATTTAAGCAGCAACTGGGGCTATGTTATAACCAACAAACCCAGGTTAAGATGGTGGCAGGGTGAGACGATGGAACAAACAGGCTATATAACTTATATAGCCAATATTGGATATAATGGGATATAAATGGAGATATTGGGATAAAACCAACCTAGGGGGTGTGATTGAGATATAATCATATATATATATATGTATAAATCAATACGCACACACACATGCAGACATATGTACATATATATATATATATACACACATATATATATACACATAGCCAACTAGAATCCGACTTGGGTTTGTCCTTGGAAATCCTTGGAACGATGAACCATGAATGAGTATGTAGTGGTGGTAAAATGGGCAGCTAATGAAGATGTGATAGTTGGTATATCAAGGGGATATGGTCTGACCATATACATATACATATATATATATATATAGATATACACACACACACATATATATATATATATACATACATATATATATATTATCAAAGGAAGTTTAGGGGGAGAAACTTCCGTGTTGCGGACTTTTTAGAATGTCAGGGAAAGAGTTAGTCAAAGAAAGAGTTAGTGAGGGAAAGGGTTAGTTAGGGAAAGAGTTAATTGTAACTTTTAGACTGTCAGGGAAAGAGTTAGTCAAAGGAAGAGTTAGTTAGGGACAGAGTTCATTGTAACTTTTAGAATGTCAGGGAAAGAGTTAGTCAAAGAAAGAGCTCGTGAGGGAAAGAGTTAGTTAGGGAAAGAGTTAATTGTAACTTTTAGACTGTCAGGGAAAGAGTTAGTCAAAGGAAGAGTTCGTGAGGGAAAGAGTTAGTTAGGGAAAGAGTTAATTGTAACTTTTAGACTGTCAGGGAAAGAGTTAGTCAAAGAAAGAGTTAGTGAGGGAAAGAGTTAGTTAGGGAAAGAGTGAGTGAGGGACAGAGTTAATTGTAAATGACATCTTCAAGTTGGATTTTTGAAGGAAGTCTCGCACGAAATGCGTTTTTGAGAGATAGCAGATGCACGAAAGCCTATGTTTTTCCATACAAAGTCCGTCCCCGAACCTCGATGATCTACCTTTGCGGTGCGACGGTTGCGAGACGGTCTCGTGTGTGGTCGGATCATGCTCGGATCATGTTCGGATCATTCTCGGATCGGTTCCGCATTGTAAATGGGGTGTCAACTGTTTTTCGTGCATGTGTGGTCGACAGAATTCCATTGTGATTTGCAACGGTAGGATCGTTCCCGCAATGTAAATGGGGTTGCAAGTGGTGCTGGTGGATGAGTTGCCGATGGAATTCCATTGTGATTTGCAACTCTAGGATCGTTCCCTCACTGTAAATGGGATTGCAAGTGGTGCTGGTGGAGGAGTTGCCGACGGAGTTTTGGAGGAAGTCTCGCACGAAATGCGTTTTTGAGAGATAGCAGATGCACGAAACCCTATGTTTTTCCATACAAAGTCCGTCCCCGAACCTCGATGATCTACCTCTGCGGTGCGGCGGTTGCGAGACGGTCTCGTGTGTGGTCGGATCATGCTCGGATCATTCTCGGATCATGGTCGGATCGGTTCCGCATTGTAAATGGGGTTTCAAGTGTTTTTCGTGCATGTGCGGTCGACAGAATTCCATTGTGATTTGCAAATGTAGGATCGTTCCCGCAATGTAAATGGGATTGCAAGTGGTGCTGGTGGATGAGTTGCCGATGGAATTCCATTGTGATTTGCAACTCTAGGATCGTTCCCGCAATGTAAATGGGATTGCAAGTGTTGCTGGTGGATGAGTTGCCGATGGAATTCCATTGTGCTTTGCAACTGTAGGATCGTTCCCGCAGTGTAAATGGTTGCGTCAAGGTTGCTTCGTGCTGTGGCTGCATTGGTAATACTTTTGTCTTTTGGAGCTGGACTTCGTAAATCGTATTGGAGTGTCTGCATGAAGGCTGCGACAGTGATTTGTCAGCAGATTTTCTCCATTTTGGCGCTAGTAATTTTCCTTCTAAAAATCCTTTTAAAAAGTGCTTCAAAATCGTCTTTTTTTCACTCTGGCGTCGAGATCCGGTTTTGGAGCTACAATTTCCGACGCCGTTGCGTGTAGTTCTATTGTGTTTTGCAGCTCAGTCTCTGCAGATCGCATTGTAATGGCTGCGTCAAGGTTGCTTCGTGCTGTGGCTGCATTCGTAATACTATTGTCTTTTGCAGCTGGACTTCGTAAATCGTATTGGAGTGGCTGCATGAAGGCTGCCACAGTGATTTGTCAGCAGATTTTCTCCATTTTGGCGCTAGTGATTTTCCTTCTAAAAATCCTTTAAAAAGTGCTTCAAAATCGTCTTTTTTTCGCTCTGGCGTCGAGATCCGGTTTTGGAGCTACAATTTCCGACGCCGTTGCGCGTAGTTCTATTGTGTTTTGCAACTCAGTCTCTGCAGATCGCATGTAATGGCTGCGTCAAGGTTGCTTCGTGCTGTGGCTGCATTTGTAATACTATTGTCTTTTGCAGCTGGACTTCGTAAATCGTATTGGAGTGGCTGCATGAAGGCTGCCACAGTGATTTGTCAGCAGATTTTCTCCATTTTGTCGCATTAGTGTTTTTTTGTTCCACGTAGGTTTAGAGCAGTGTGAAGTGTGGGGCGTAAAGAGTGCAGTGTGAAGTGTGAAGTGTGAAGGAAGCAGTGAGAAGTGTGAAGTGTGGAGTGTGAAGTGTGCAGTGTGGAGTGTGAAGTTTAAGTTTGGAGTGCGAAGAGCGCAGTGTGAAGTGTGAAGTGTGAAGTGTGAGGCTTGGAGTGTGAAGGAAGCAGTGAGAAGTGAGAAGTGTGGAGTGTGAAGTGTGGAGTGTGAAGTTTGAAGTTTGGAGTGCGAAGAGAGCAGTGTGCAGTGTGAGGTGTGGAGTGTCGAGGGAAGGACACGGTCGGGACAGGTTGTCTTTGAACTATAGGTCATTTATGTTTGGGAAACTTCCGCCGCCGGCTTGCCCGGGTCTATGTTATAGATATATTCCACACACACACACGCACACACATACATATATAATACATACATGTTAGTGGACAGGTTTGTCCACAAAGACGGTTGAATGAGAAACATGGGAATGTATATGTCCAACTGTAAATGGTGAGTTTTCTGGGGTATGGCATGGCACAGAACCAGCGACGTGGTATGTGGGTCAAACATACGGGGGACAATTCACAACAGCAGTGACTGTTGGAATTCAATGGGTCTGGGAGTGGTGGACTGGTTTTTGGCGCCCGAAAACCGGAACCGAACCCTGGCAACACTGGAACCTGCTGTTGGGTTGAGCTAGTTAATGGAATTTGGGGTTCCCAATTCGAGACAAGCCGCGGAGCCAGGATGATGGGTAGAGAAATGTGCAAAACAATCGCCACCATTGTGCAAAGAGCATTCTCACTGTGTCTCGCACTTTCTCAAGCTAATTTGTCGCAGGCAACCTATTGGAGGCGGCCGGATTTCTGGAACAGGACACCAAGGAACGGTTGATGAGATACATGGTCTCCCTGGACAAGTCGCGCATCTGGGATGATGCGCTGCAGGGCTTGTTATGGCCCTGTTGGTGCCCTGTTGGCCCCATTTTAGGTTTTGGCACCAATTTTTTAAATAGTAGTCTGATAGTACGTGCGGTAGTTGACTAGAGACTGGATGCAGCTTAGTACTGCCATATCGCAAGCTCTCCGCAGTTGAATCTGAAGCGTTTGGAAGACAGACACATAAGAATACTAGAGGCCCTTAGTTTAGACAAATCATCATTAGTCTGATGCCAACTGTGCCCTTCCACCTTTGGCCACCCTTCAGGCAGCACCTCAACCTTGGTTTTCACCGAGGTAACGATTCCAGGGTGCTGAAGGAGAAATACGCACTGGAAGCGCAGAGGCCACTTTCTGTGCAGAAAAGCGCAGGGAAAAAGAGTATCCGAACATTCTCCTCCTGTAAATCCTCGAATTTTGGGCTTGGCTCCTCGCAGGTTCATGGTAATCTATATGTGAATCAGGTTTGGAAGGCTTGGGTTTTCACAAATCCTTTATCAAGTTCTCACCCTCTTGATGTTTTGGCTCAAGTGCCTTGATCCAAAATGGCAAGATTTTTCTTGCTTCCTTGGGCGTGGAGGGACCACGCATATGGCCTTTCTGGTGGGGTGCTATGCTACTCCCGTAGAGGTACTCCACCTTGCGGATCTCCTCACCCTAGAGAGACTTGGGGAGGCGCGGGCGGTGTGGGGACTTGTTGTCGAGACGTTGCTCTGTGGAGTGTCCCTGAGTTACCGGATTTGCATTCAGTCCCATGTCGGGCCGTCTTGGTCCAAGCTGCGGCAGTCGATGCACTGCCTGAGAGGTGGCTTCCGGGATAATTGCCCGCTTCGATGTTCTGTCGCGGGCGCCATAGTCTCTTCAGTTGCGGGGAGGATCTCCTGCCGCTTCATGTGTGGCGGCTGCTGGCGAGATTGTGCTTGAGGCGCGATGGCCTCCGTGGTGGAGTTTTCGAGCTCTGGCAGGATTGGCAAGGACGGTCTGGGGTCTGGGTGTTTTCGACGGATGCCATTCACAGGGGCAACAACATTGGGTGACGAGCAGGTCGCTCCTGGAGATTGTTGCTTGGTGCAGTGGAGGTCGGCGCAAACCAATGTGCAGGCACTGTGGGGTGCCGACCCGGGATACCTGTGACACTTGCGAAGTCGAGTGTTGCTAGGCATGTCGCAGCGGAGAGACCGCTTGCGATTTCTGCCAAACTCCGGAGCTCGAGGTGAATTAATCAATGAGCTGGATTTGCACGGTGGCTCGATTGCAGAATCCGCTGACTACGAGTGACCCTCGTGAGGCAGAGGCTTGGTGCAAGCCGTTTTGCCGCGAATGTGCTGATAGGGCACCAGCGGGCTTTTTGCTGTGACTATTTCAGCCGAATTTAGGATAAGAGCGCTGCAAAGAAGCGGGCTTGGTTTTTGACCTAGGTCACGACGAGCCCAATGATGGATCGAATTTGTGTGTGGTGAAAGGACGGTTTTAGGCTTGTGTCGGGTCGTGTTGGTTGACAGTTAGAAGAGTGCCATGCGCCAGAGTTCTGGTAGTCACCGTACTCTGCCTTTCCCCCCCGGTCAGGTGATGTCCTGGGCAAACATGTTCTGTTACCACGCTCCAAGAGGGTGGTGTCCACATTGCCAGGGCACAAGAAGCTGGCGTGGTTGCAGGCGCACGACCAGGAGGAGATGAGGAGAGAGCAGAGTGGGCGAGGCTACCGAGAGTCAACTCGTTGGGCCAGATTATGAAGGAGATCTATGAGGCCCGTGATACCCACATGGGTATGTCCAGTCAGCATGGAAACGCGGCCCCCAGCAGCCGCGGTGGCAGCTGGTATCCCGAAGGCTGAGCCAGGCAGGCCAACCCTCCAAGTTCCAGCTAGGCCCTATGGTAACAAAGAAGTGGCCCGTGTGATGCGGGATGGGACAAGCCTGTCGCCAAGCATGGCAGAAGGGCGAGTGCAAAGCCAAGGGCTCATGTGCGAAGGGAGTGCAAGTGGTCACCCGGGTCAGAGGATTTGTGGGGCGGCATCGCATGGTGCGGTGTCGGGGACCAGGGAGGAAGGGAGCCTTCCCTCATTTTCACCGTTTTCCCCGCTCCCAGCTCCCAGAGCCCATTAATCATTGACTTCATGGCTGGTCTGCCACTTTGACTAAGGCGTTCCTTTTTTGTGGATGACGAACCGTCGCGGTCGATTGGTTGATTGACCCGTCGCATGACTTAGCCGATGATCCGAGGAGGCAAGGGAGTTTTGCCGAGCAGGTCCAGGAGGCAGCTTTTGTGGCGGCAGCTTTGAACTGTTCGACGAAGAGCCAATTAAGCTAGAGAGATCCCGAGGGTCTTCGAAGATGGGCGGAGAGCACCAGGGCCATTGGCGAGTGAGAAGTATCCCGAAGGGTTGCCGGAGTTGACCGGTAAAGATCGGGAGAGAGTGGAGACAGACTAGGTGCTCAGTTGCAGAAAGTGTCTGAGAGCGGTCGAGGAGCGCTTCGTGAGAATCCTGCACGCAGTCTTCACTGGGAGCTGGAGCAGGAGCACCAGATGCTTGCCCCAGGTCTTTGGCTGGATTCTTTGTATGCTGGGTGCGAGTGCAACTTTATTGGAGCACGGTGCAAGCGGCAGCGGCTCCGCCACAACATCCCCGAGGTGTCGCAATGGCCAGTAGTGCATGGAATGCCATCACATGTACATGATCAGCGGAATGGGATCCGATGCTGGTGGATGGGTCGAGGTACTACCCAAGCAAAGAAGAGGCGGAGTACACCGCATGCCTATAGCGTTTGTGTCATTATGGGCAGTCAGGATAGGTTTTGGTATGATGGCTATACCCAAGATGCCCTCAGTTGAGACCAATGGTCGGTGTGAGCACTGGTTGCAAGCTATGAGGGAATGGGCCATGATGGCTCCAATGGGGATTGCGTTAGGTTTGGTTCCGCCAGACCCTGTAGAGGCAGGGCGTGTGCCACGGCGGCTGCAACTGGATGATGTGATCGTGGACGGTGAGCTTCGCCATCGCTTGCGCCGCACCAAATGGGATTCGCCGTTTCGCCGGGGCACGACTGCGCCTTCGATGACTGGCTGCCGCCGAAGTACGTCGAGCATTTGAAGGATCACCTTGCAGCATCTTTGCATGAGAGGGCAGAAGTTGGGCTTCTTTGCACAGGAGAGCGTGGTGGCGGCCTTCAAGAAGTTGTGCCCGTTGGTTTCGTAGTTTCCAGTTCCCCATGGTCGAAGACATCGTCAACCAGGAACCTTTTGTGGGCTATCTGGAATGGCGGGTCGGAGAAGGGCTTCCCTGGGATGGCCCTTTGGTCCCGTCGGTTGGTGCGGGGGCATGCGGGTGGCAGACAGGCGAGGGCTCTGAGCCACAGAGCGGCCCTGCCACCCCTGGTCTCCTTTGGTTTGGAGATGGAGGAGCACTTTGCCGAATGTCAACGGCTACTGCATCAACCTATATACCCCTTTGGAGCAGCAACTCTGTTGGATGATGACCTCAAGTTTGCCGCAGCTTCTATGGTGTTGCATTACTGTACGGATGGCTGAATTCCGGAAGCGTGCTATCGCCGCTTTCAAGGAGTTGGTCAATCGGTGGCATTCAGTGTCGGCTCATTTGAGGAAGTTCTAGACACCGGCAATTCGAAGAGTCACAGCCAACCGTGAGATTGGCTTGCCTGGCCTGTTGATGCTGCTTCTTTTCTGGGATGATTTTTTGTACCCATGTGGTCTCACCAAGGGCCTTCCTGCAATTGTTTTGCACCGAATGATGGAATCTTCCCGTTCCAAGTAGCCCCGTTTTTGTCCTTGGATGAAGTGCTCGAGGGAGCGGGAGTCCAACAATGCTAACATTTTGCGACGTTTGAAGCCAAGCAAAGATGATGCCTTCATGCTGGAGCAATCATGCAAAGATTTCAGTCAAGGGTTTTGTTCACAACCCATGGGTAAAACTCAGCTGCTCTCAACACTGAAGGGGCGGAGGTTCCGTCTGATTCCCAGGTGCGTGATCACGCAGGCCAATGGCAAACAGCGCATCATTGATGATGCGGCCCGAGGTGGGCAGAGTGAACTCTGCTCGGATCAGAATAAGCTGGTGTTGTGTACGCCGCTGCGGCCAGCACAGCACATTGCAGCGGTGGGGGCAGGTATGCCCGACGATCTGTGGAACCACTGTTGTCATGCGGATCGGTGGCTTGGTGCAGGCGAAGATTGGCTTAACTCAGGCCTATATCGCCATTCGCCGATTAGGTTTGACGAAGCGCTTGCTTGTGTCGTGGTCTTCTGGCATGATGAATGGCAAGAACCGCTTTTCAGGTCTACAGCAGTTTGTTGTTTGGTTTGGCTTTGGCGGTGACTAGTTTCAACCGTTACAGTCGGTTTGCTCAAGCGCTGGGTAGTAGATTCTCCGTTGCTTACCGGTGTACTATGATGATGTGCATCTGACGGATCTGGGGTGGGGTCCAACGGCAAGTCATCTCAATGGTGTTTCGGGCAATTGATTTTGTTTTGGGCAGAGGAGAAACAACAACCTTTGAGTGACAACGGATCCTTGGGATTAGACTATGACTTCACCGAGGTTGGAACTCATGCTCGTATCCACTTTTGGGTTCGAGGGCGACTCGAAACCAAAGTTTCAATTATGATGCAAGAAGCACGCGCAACACGTGTTCTGACGCCCTCCCAGGCTTCGCAGTTATTACTGTCAACTTCCTCCAGTCATGTGTTTTCGGACGTGTTGGTTGTGGCGGACTTCAACCGCTGAAAGATCATCACTACGGCAGCTGTTCTGTCCTATCAGATCGGCTGACCAAGTGCTTTGAAGTCTTTGCTACAGTTGCGACCTCGTCGGCATTTTATGATCAGGCGTCACTCCGTAGGTCGTGTGCTTTTGTAGCGTCTGATGCGGCCTTGGGGGGCGCCAAGGCAAGGATCAGGGGGTTTCCTGATCCTTTGGCAGCCAGCAGCTAGCAGACCTCGTGAAGCGTTTGTTGCAGGCCTACCAGAGAACCTCTATGGCTATTGGGTCGGAGACCACAAGATTGCCCAGTTGGAGATGCTAATGATTGTTCACACTCTTTTGGCCAGGCGCAAGAAGTTCGAGGTCGCCGAGGTGTTTGGATGATCGACAACGTTGCTATAGCATGTCATGTGTCTGATCAGAAGACGAAGCCATAGCTCAGAGTTAGAGGAGATTTGCCACTTCATTCGCGTCACGCTCTTTGCGCTGAAAGCTTCACTCTATTGGGGATACGTACCGTCGAAGGCTAATTGGGCTGACCCGATTTCTACACAAGGATCTCAGGATCCTTGGCATCAGCGTGAGGGTTTCACCCGATTTTTCTCTTATTTTAATTACGGGCTCCTGACATATACGTCGCCTATACTCCACATTACGCGTCATCTGGATAGTTCAATTTTTGTAGTGCCTTGGGAGTTGGTGCATTGGGATTAGTTTGTGGTCAGACACATCCCTGGAGTGACCAGGGATGGATATGCCAGGGAACTGGCTGCGCTGATCAGGCTGCGAGGCTGCAGCGACCTAAGGCAAATCCTGCAATGTGCAGGTTCATTGGTTTTAGCCGTTGGCTTGGAGAGCTTCAGATGAGAGAGATTAAATCTGAGAGTGTCTTCCTTGTCTCTTTAGTAGCCTGGTAGCGTGAGACTTTGTAAATGTATATGTGAATCAGGTTTGGAAGGCTTGGGTTTTCACAAATCATCTATCAAGTTCTCATCCTCTTGATATTTTGGCTCAAGTGCCTTGATCCAAACTAGCAAGATTTTTCTTGAATTTTCATTAGGTTCCTCGTAGTTTCGAGTGACATTGTCTGAGGTGAGGCACATGCCTGGAGGGGCCAGTGATGGGGATTAGCTTGTGGTCAGACACATCCCTTGGAGTGACCAGGGGTGGATATGCCAGGGAACTGGCTGCGCTGATCAGGCTGCGAGGCTGCAGCGACCCAAGGCAAATCTCGCAGTGTGCAGGTTCATTGGACTTAGCCGTTGGCTCGGAGAGCTTCAGATGAGAGAGAAGAAAAAGGAAAGTGTTTTCCTTGTCTTTATAGTAGCCTGGTAGTGTGAGACTTTGTAAATGATGAACCATACAAGACATACCAGCATTCCAATCTGTAAGATCCTGTAACCAGTTTCAGCACCAAGAATTTCTGGCCTAGCTGCCAGGATCCTCATGGAATTGCCAACAATGCCCGAGACTATGGAGGAACTGAGCAAGGCATATAAAAAAATGGCTTTCAAACTTCATCCAGACAGGCGCACCCTGGGGATGCACTTGGCATGATATGGTTTGACGTGGTTATAGTGTTCACATAGTATGTCATAGTATGTCATAGTACGTCATAGTATGTCATAGTATGTCATAGTATGTCATAACATATATAGTATGTCATAGTCAAATGATGTCAAATGTACAGGTACTCCATCCCATAGACATCCATGGGCTGTAATTAACGATGGCTATAGTCCATCCTATTTGCCCATTGTCGTTTTCAGGATCATTTCATGATGTCAATCGTTTCAATCATTTTTGACAATGATGCCATTCTCCTGGCGCCGCAATCTCTGGCTCCCAGCTCTGTGGGCTGCGCTGCCACGCGTTGGTGACGGCGTGGATGGAGCGGCCGGCTGGGGTGGAGGAGTGGTTCCAATGCCTGCCACAGCTTCTGTCAGTCCAGGGCTGGGAAATTGCCAGTGATCGGCACGGCCACGGAACCAGTGGAACGCATGAAGCGGCTGGAACCCTGTCCCACTGCCTTTGCCCCTGGGGTGGCAGATTGATCAAGATCACCTTGGACGGTAGCTCGGCAATCTGGTAAGAAACAGGACTGTGGAAGATCCATGTCTTAGTGCTGATGCATTGGTTGACAATGATTTTCTTGCCACTTGGGTTTGGCCAAATGTCGGCCCGCGAAGTGAGCAGAACTTCAGTCATCTTGAGCACATTTTAGCATCAAACCGTCCCATTTGCTGGGCGAACAGGTTTGCATGATAGGACACATCAGATGTGTCAGAGTCAGAGGGTAGCGTTTGTGCAGTTGGTGGTTTCACATATTCATCTCTATTTTCAATTTCTATGTGGATGATGATCCGTAACCCTTAGTTCACCACCATTTGTGTGGAATGCGCACGATTGCCCACGCTGTCCTGAGGTATTGCCATCAAAGACCCACCGCAAGACAGCTCGCATGTGCTGGTGAGACCGGAAGTTCGCGCACAGCCGCTCAGTGTCAGAGAAAATCCACAAGCATCAACTGAGAAAATTGGTTTCCATCATTTTTTTTACATTACCCGCCCCATTCAGGAGTACCAACTCTGGAATGCTCAACAGGCAGTTTCTTAGTACAGTTTGCCAGATGGCTTTGGAAAGACGGAGTTGGCTCTACCAGTCTTGCGTGCCATGTGCCCAACAGTATGCCAGTATGCAACCATCCAATGGCAGAATACGTGTGCCACCAGAAAAAGCTTTTCCATTGCAACTCATGTTTTGAGTGCGGACCCCAGCTGTCAAGTGTCCTGCAGCATGGTAATGGTACAGCCACAAAGTGACATCCATTCTCATCCATTCCCATCCATTCCCGAGGTTCCTGAAGGACCATCCGGAGTACAGTGCGGCTGGTTACGGGGTCTTTGGCTTTGAGCTGCTGAATCACGTCGCGCCCGGCCACGCGGTGGTGAAGACCTGGGCCTTGTGGAGCCTCTTCCGGCTGTGCACCGTGCTGTTTGGGCAGCTGAGCAGCGGCCATGGGGAGGAGGGGAGTGCCAGGCAGAGGTTGGTGCGCGACTTTCCAAGGCATGGGGATGCCACCTATACCCATTCCCAGGCCAGGCATGGCAATCACTTTGGAGCAGCGAGTGTAGTAATTTTTTGTTTGTTGTTGGAGGTTGTGGTGAAATGAAGGTGGGGATTTTTTTTTCTCTATCTATCTAAATCTATTTATATCTATCTATATCTATCTATCTATCTATCTATCTATCTCTATCCATCTCTATCTATCTCTATCTATCTCTATCTATCTCTATCTATCTCTATCTATCTCTATCTATCTCTATCTATCTCCTATCTATCTCCTATCTATCTCTATCTATCTATCTATCTATCTCTATCTATCTCTATCTATCTCTATCTATCTCTATCTATCTATCTATCTCTATCTATCTCTATCTATCTCTATCTATCTCTATCTATCTCTATCTATCTCTATCTATCTCTATCTATCTCTATCTATCTATATCTATCTATCTATATCTATCTATCTATATCTGTCTATCTCTATCTATCTCTATCTATCTCTATCTATCTATCTATCTATTTATCTATCTATCTATCTATCTATTTATCTATCTATCTCTATCTATCGATCTATCTATCTATCTATCGATCTATCTATCTATCTATCTATCCATCTATCTATCTATCTATATCTATCTCTATCTATCGATCTATCGATCTATCGATCTATCGATCTATCGATCTATCGATCTATCTATCTATCTATCAATCTATCTGTCTATCTATCTATCTATCTATCTATTCAAAGCTATCTTTCTAAATGTATCTATCTACCTAAACCTTTCTATCTATCCATCTATCTGTCTATCTATTCATCCATCTATCTATCTAAATCAATCTATCTATCTATCTATCTACCTAACTAAATCTATCTATCTATCTGAATCTTTCTATACCTATCTATGTCTGTCTATCTAAACCTATCTATCTAAATCTATCTTTCTATCTGAGTATCTATCTAAATCTGTCTTTCTATCTGAGTATCTATCTATCTATCTATCTATCTAGCTAAATCTATCTATCTAAATCTATCTATCTAAATCTTCTGAAATCTATCAAAATCTATCTATCTATCTATCTACTTACGTATCTACCTACCTACCTATCTAGCTATCTAGCTATCTAGCTATCTGGCTATCTGGCTATCTGGCTATCTGGCTATCCAGCTATCCAGCTATCTAGCTATCTGGCTATCTGGCTATCTAACTATCTAGCTATCTAGCTTTTTAATTATCTATCTATCTATCCATCCATCTATCTATCTATCCATCTATCCATCTATCTATCTAGCTTATCTTTTTACTTATCTATACACATACTTGTACACATGTCCCGAAGTAACAAGTCAATACGTATCAGGGACATTGCAATACAAACCAACAAAAATTGGAACAAAAACATGCGCGAGAGCACCATACACGTGTGATTGCGAGAATGGAACAGCTTTGGGATCTTTGGGGAGGTTGAGCTTGCAACAAATACACTTGACACCCAGTGATGCCCCCCCATCCAGACCAAGCGCGCCGTCACTGACAGGATTTCGGTGAGATCAGAGACGTCTTGGTGATATGTCGACCCACGATGCTCGATGCTTTCGACGTCCAGGTCATATTCAGCGTGCAGGAGGATAAGTTCGCGCATTGGGCGGTTCCGCAGTCCCCCTGTGCGCACTTACAAATTGTTGTTTTTATGTGATTATTTTATCTACTTTTCCGATTCAACACGTTTCGTTTTTTTGGGTGGTGACCAGCATCTGGTGTTGAAGTGGTGCTATTCCTTTTCATTGGAGGTTCTGGGATTCCAAACGTCAGGCAATGATAGGGTGATCTTCTTATTGTTCTCATTTGACTTATTTCTTCTCATATGTCAATCTAGTCATACTTTACTGAGCATATAGATATCATAGTTGCTCTGTTATCAGGTTGGTGTCGCTACTGCCGCTTTTCCTAAACATCATCATCGTCATCATGGTTATCGTAGTCGTCATCGTCATCTTCGCCATCATGGTCATCACCACCCCGATCATCACCCCCTATCACTATCACCATCACCATCATCATTGTTGCAGCATCCTTACTGTCATTATCGTTTTTGCCCTTTTTGGCTGTCACTGGCCAATTGGGGGTCACGGCTAGAAGTGAACGGATTCTTGATCAGAGGTAGCATTTCAAACTGCACAAGACGGCTTGTGAAGGATCATTTCACAGCATCAGCTTGAAGTGGACTTCATCAAATATCGAATATCACCCGACTTCCATTTTTGCACCCCCCAACTTCAGCAGCAAACGCCATTTTGGGTGACCCCTGGCCAGGTTTGCAAAGCTCATGGAATCGGCCCGCAAGAGCACCGAGTGGTTTCTGAATCGGCCCGGGGTCAACCAGCTGCGACAACTGGATGAGGTGTCTTGGCCCAAAGGCCCCCATGTCCCAGCATGATGATACTGTATGGAGGCGGCACAATTTTGATGGGCTTGGTCCCTGCTGCTGTTGGATTCACACTTCACTGTGGCAACAGTTTGCTGGCCATTTGCCAAGAAAATCGTGCAAAAACAGTCACACATCCATCCTTCAACTAACCGGGGCCAGGAGTTGCACTTGTAAAGTGTGGTGGCATGCAATGGCCAAGTGGGACTTGCAATTGTGGCAGTGTATTTTGTGTCGGGGAGCATGGGGAAGCTATTCAAAAGCTATGTTGAATGGTAATCTGGGACATTAACAATTGACAATTTTCTGCTACAATCACCTACAGTCGAAACATACGACAAAGGTTTATTCATGTTTAGGTCTGTGCCAGGTCAATTATCCTGTTTGCGGGTGCAATGTTTTTGCCAGGACTTCTATACTATCTTGGCGATTCAGAGTTGGCAGCGGGGCCCTCCCTTTCTGCCGGCACGCACCGGGGATGGGGTTGTGGCGCCCACAGTCACGATTGACGCGGGGGAGAAGCTTGGGCTAACCTCCTGGTCACGATTTCACCCTCCGGGCGAGAAGTGCCTTGGCTCTGCAGTGAGCAGGACATAGGACTGGTGGCTGTAAAACGATGGGACAATGCAATAAGATGATAAGTATTGGAGGATGGAACTGATGTGTGGTGCTAAGTATAAGGGTTTCACTCCGTTGGTAGACTTTGGATGCATTGTACATGTAGTCAATCTACTCGCTTGCCACCTTGCCACCAGACATCCCTGCTCTGGCTTTTTCTTTTTGCTGGTGAGGTTTCTCTTCTCCCAATACTTGGAACAGTTTCTGGAATACCTGCTTGGTGAACAAATTGACGTTTTTAGCTCGCTTGATGGTCGGCAGCTTGTGCCATATCAAGCCGCTGTGTTGCGACAGAAGTGGTCGCGGATTCGAATGGTTTTCAGCGACGCCTTCTCGTTGCAGAAGACCGCGTATCGACGTGCCAACGGAGGCACCAGCTGAGTTTATTTTCAAGCTTACTTCGGAAGATAGAATAGCTTGCAAAGCATTGCAAAGCTGTTGTCATCGAAACAGCACCTCAAATTTGTGATCTGGGGATAGTTACAAAGGGCGGATTCCTTGAGTTATTTATGCTTACGCTCGCATTAGACTGAAGATTGACCTTTGTCGTATTGAGTATTGAGTGCCAACGGAGGCACCACTGCACCCAATGTCCATGAAGACGTGAAGCCGCGGTTCTTACCGCATGGAAGCACGCGTGGCAATGACATTTCGAGTGCGGTTGAAAGCTGCGTATCTCAGGAAGCACCACAGCACAAGGTCGTGGTCCGGCGAACCTTCTTAGAAGTGGAGACGGTAGCTGGGCTTGTAAGGGAGGGGCTTGAAACCGAGAGCCGGACCAACGGGTTGTGTAAAAAGGAGTTGCTTAAATAGGTCCGTGATGGTCCGTGATGGTCCGTGATGGTCCGTGATTTTCAGTGGTGAATTCTTAAAGCAGTTTATGGCCGATGTCCCACGGATCTGCTCAGGATGATGAGGAGATTGACTTTGACTGCTCTGAAAGACATGGACGTCGATACCGCACAGTGAACTCTCTGTGCACAGACCGTTCAGGTCCCGAGTGACCATTGCTATAAAGGAGGTTCAAGAATGTTTGAGAAAGCCACAGGTTCAAAAATCTTTCGGGTGACAACTTCTCCATCTTCTCCTTTGGAATTTTGAATCACCAGCCATAGCTGTTGGTCTGTTTGTTTCGAAATGCCTGTTCATTCTCTGAACGTGATGTTTTGCGTCGATGTGGCTTTGCATGCCGTTGGAATTCATGGCACTCGCGGCAGCGGATCGCTCACATGAGTCAAACACAGTCAAACTGTCAGTAGAAGCCGCCTAAGAGAGCTACGGCCTGCCTGCGGCTTCTCTTTTGAGCGGATCAACATTCGCTTTTGGCTCCCTGGTCCAGAGGGGGCACGACTCATTGAGCAGTGGCCCGATTTTTGGCATCGTCCGTGTTTAACGGTTCGCCCCTTTGTATAGCCTTAGGACATGCCGCTGCCCCGCTGCAACGAGTGTGCGTGTATAGTTCTACACCTCGCACCCATGAAGCCATGTAGGTGTGAAGACCACCAAGCGGCTTACAAGGAGTCCGCCTGGTTTAGGAAACACGTTCTGGAAGTGGCGAGCCGCAAAATTTCGCCAAATGCAGATGCAGAGCTTCACCTTTCAGCCTGCATTGTGCCCTGTTACTCCGTGCCAAGGGACCTGGACATGGACCCTTAAAGATTGCATTCTCGGAAATGTGGCAGGCATCAGGAGAACGCTGATGAGTACAAAGAACCCTTCCAGCAGATGCATGATGCCTATGTGAAGCTCCTCGAACACGTGGTTCCTTTTCTGATCTTTTGTCAAAGACTTTGCGTGGTTTTGGACGGCAAAAGAGCCGGCTGGGGGCCGATATACATCAGTAGTTGACCTGGTTGGCGGTTTCATCTTTTCTTAAAACATCAACCCTGCCTGGATGATCCCACCGAACATATGTAGTTCTTCAGATGGGTTGAAACCACCAAGCATTTGAATGGGAGAACTCATGATCTACTAGGTCAGGTTGCCCACCATTTTCATCGGTTTCCTTTTTCGGTCCAGTGGCCATGATGGAAGAATAGCATGGCCGAGGCTGGCTGCCTGCCGACAGAGAGTGCATCTGCCACCAGGAAGATCACGAAATTGCACCTTGGGAAGCTTGGCACCGAGATGGCATCGGAGATGGCTGGAGAAGATATTCGGAAGGGTTGAGTTTTATCCAGTAGCTCCACGCTTCAGGGGGCGCAGTTGGGATTCTAATGGGTTTTGATAAACATGGTATGACCATGTATAACCACGGTAGAAAAGCACATCAGTTGGCATATAACATGATGGTTATATATCTGCTTACATAGTTCATTTAGTTCCTGCCAGCCACTGCCGAACCAGGCTCCCCTCCAAGTTGCCGCAAGAGTTGTGGGATCTGACAGACAACTTGCTCAATTCTGCCCAAGTGCCTTGATGCCAATTAGCACCGAGCACCGCAGCAACATGAAGCAACTGTTCCACTGAGACGACTTTTTGGGGCTTGCTCGGCTGACTGAGATTTTGATTCTGCAATTATATGTGTGTGTATATATATATATTTATACATATGTATATATGAGTATATGTATGAGTACATATGTGTATATAAATATATATATATATATATTAATATATATATATTACACACACACACATACATACATACATACATACATACATACATACATACATACATACATACATATGCGCTCTCTCTCTATATATGTATATATATATAATGTATTTGTTACAATTATATGCATACGCGTATTTTATACACTTCGGTCTTTTTATTATTTGATTTTATTTGGTGCGTCAGACATCAGACACTTCGTATTTTTTATTTGCTATTGTTCGGTCATGCTCTTAGGTTGCACTGCATACCGCTACCTATCTATCTACCTATCTATCTTTCTTTCTTATCTTATCTATCTTTTCTTATCTTTCTTATCTTATCTATCTTATCTTATGTTGACTTATCTGATCTTATCTTATCAATCTTATCTTATCTCATCTTATTTATCTTATCTTATCTGTCTTATCTTATCTTTCGTTTCTTATCTATCTTATCCTATCTGTCTTAAAATATCTATCTTATCTAATCTATCTTATCTAATCAATCTTTTCTTGTCTATCTTATCTATCTTTTCTTATTTGTATTATTTTATCCAGCTTATCTTATTGATCTTTTCTTATCTATCTTATCTTATCTTTTATTATCTTATCCCATCTTTTCTATGTTATCTTCTCTGTCTTATCTTATCTATCCTTTCCTATCTTTTCTATCATATCTCATCTATCTTATCTTATCTTATCTTACAAATCTATCAATCTATCAATCAATCAATCTATCTATCTATATCTAATATCTATCTATCTATCTATATCTATCTGTCTATCTATCTATCTATCTATCTATATCTATCTATATCTATCTATATCTATCTATATCTATCTATATCTATCTATATCTATCTATATCTATCTATATCTTTCTATATCTTTCTATATCTATCTATATCTATCTATATCTATCTATATCTATCTATATCTATCTATATCTATCTATATCTATCTATATCTATCTATATCTATCTATATCTATCTATATCTATCTATATCTATCTATATCTATCTATATCCATCTATATCCATCTATATCTATCTATATCTATCTATATCTATCTATATCTATCTATATCTATCTATATCTATCGGTATCTATCGATATCTATCTATATCTATCTATATCTATCTATATCTACCGGTATCTATCGATATCTATCTATATCTATCTATATCTATCTATATCTATCTATATCTATCTATATCTATCTATATCTATCTATATCTATATCTATCTATATCTCTATCTCTATCTCTATCTATACGTATATCTTTATCTATATCTATATCTATCTACCTATATCTATCTACCTATATCTATCTATCTATCCTATCTATCCTATCTATCCTTTCTCTATCCTATCCTATCCTATCCTATCCTATCCTATCCTATCCATCTATCTATATCTAATATCAATCTATATATAATATCAATCGATATCAATCTATATCAATCTATGTCTATCTATATCTATCTATATCTATCTATATCTATCTATATCTATCTATATCTATCTATATCTATCTATATCTATCAATATCTATCTATATCTACCTATATCTATCTATATCTATCTATATCTATCCAAATCTATCTATATCTATCTTTATCTATCTATATCTATCTATATCTATCTATATCTATCTTTATCTATCTATTTCTATCTATATCTATCTAAATCTATCTATATCTATTTATATCTATCTATATCTATATATCTATCTCTATCTATCTCTATCTATCTCTATCTATCTCTATCTATCTCTATCTATCTCTATCTATCTCTATCTATCTCTATCTATCTCTATCTATCTCTATCCATCTCTATCTATCTCTATCTATCTCTATCTATCTCTATCTATATCTATCTATCTATCTCTCTGTCGACCTATCTGTCTATCGATCTATCTCTCTATCGATCTATCTATCGATCTATCTATCGATCTATCTATCGATCTATCTATCTATCTATCAATCGATCGATCGATCGATCTATCTATCTGTCCTATCTATCCTATCTATCCTATCTATCCTATCTATCCTATCTATCCTATCTATCCTATCTATCCTATCTGTCCTATCTATCCTATCTATCCTATCTATCCTATCTATCCTATCTATCCTATCTATCTATCCTATCTATCTATCCTATCTATCTATCCTATCTATCTATCCTATCTTATCTATCTATCTTATCTATCTATCTTATCTTTTCTTATCTTATCTTATCTTATCTATCTATCTATCTATCTATCTTCCTATCCTATCCTATCCTATCCTATCCTATCTATCTATCTATCCATCTAATCTATCTATCTATCTATCTATCTCTCTGTCTATCTATCTATCTATCTATCTATCTATCTATCCTATCTATCCATATCTATCTATCTATCTAATCTAATCTAATCTAATCTAATCTAATCTAATCTAATCTAATCTAATCTAATCTAATCTATCTATCTATCTATCTATCTTATCTATCTTATCTATCTTATCTATCTTATCTATCTATCTATCTATCTATCTATCTATCTATCTATCTATCTATCTTATCTATCTTATCTATGTTATCTATGTTATCTACCTTATCTATCTTATCTATGGTATCGATCTTATCTATCTTATCTATGGTATCGATCTTATCTATGTGATCTATCTGATCTATCTCATCTATCTCATCTATATCATCTATCTAATCTATCTAACCTATCTAATGTATCTAATCTATCTAATCTATTCTATCTATCTTACCTATCCTATCTATCCTATCCATCCTATCTATCTTATCTATCCTACCTATCCTATCTATCCTATCTATCCTATCTATCCTATCTATCTTACCTATCCTATCTATCCTATCCATCCTATCTATCTTATCTATCTTAGCTATCCTATCTATCTATCGTATCTATCTATCTCATCCATCTCATCTATCTCATCTATCTCATCTATCTCATCTATCTCACCTATCTCATCTATATCATCTATCCATCTTATCTATCTATCTAATCTACCTATCTAATCTACCTATCTAATCTACCTATCTAATCTACCTATCTATCTACCTATCTACCTAATCTATCTATCTAATCTATCTATCCAATCTATCTATCCAATCTATCTATCCAATCTATCTATCCAATCTATCTATCCAATCTATCTATCCAATCTATCCAATCTATCCAATCTATCCAATCTATCCTATCTATCCTATCTATCCTATCTATCCTATCTATCCTATCTATCCTATCTATCCTATCTATCCTATCTATCCTATCTATCTTATCTATCCTATCTATCTATCCTATCTATCCTATCTATCCTATCCATCCTATCTATCCTATCTGTCCTATTTATCCTATCTATCCTATCCTATCCTATCTATCTATCTATCTTTCTATCTATCTATCTATCTATCTATCTATCTATCTTATCTATCTTATCTATCCTATCTATCTTATCTTTCTTATCTATCCTATCTATCCTATCTATCCTATCTATCCTATCTATCCTATCTATCCTATCTATCCTATCTATCCTATCTATCCTATCTATCCTATCTATCCTATCTATCCTATCTATCCTATCTATATTATCTATATGATCTATCCGATCTATCCGATCTATCCGATCTATCCGATCTATCCGATCTATCCGATCTATCCGATCTATCCTATCTATCCTATCTATCCTATCTATCTATCCTATCTATCTATCCTATCTATCTATCCTATCTATCTATCCTATCTATCTATCTATCTATCTATCTATCGTATCTATCTATCGTATCTATCTATCGTATCTATCTATCGTATCTATCTATCGTATCTATCTATCGTATCTATCTATCTATCGTATCTATCTATCGTATCTATCTATCGTATCTATCTATCTTATCTATCTATCTATCTATCTAGCTATCTACCTATCTACCTATCTATCCTATCTATCCTATCTATCCTATCTATCTATCTATCTATCCATCCATCCATCCTATCTATCTATCCATCTAATCTATCTATCTATCTATCTATCTGTCTATCTATCTATCTATCCATCCTATCTATCCTATCTATCCTATCTATCCTATCTATCCTATCTATCCTATCTATCCTATCTATCCTATCTATCCTATCTATCCTATCTATATTATCTATATGATCTATCCGATCTATCCGATCTATCCGATCTATCCGATCTATCCGATCTATCCGATCTATCCGATCTATCCGATCTATCCGATCTATCCGCTCTATCCGATCTATCCGATCTATCCGATCTATCCGATCTATCCGATCTATCCGATCTATCCGATCTATCCGATCTATCCGATCTATCCGATCTATCCGATCTATCCGATCTATCCGATCTATCCTATCTATCCTATCTATCCTATCTATCCTATCTATCCTATCTATCCTATCTATCCTATCTATCCTATCTATCCTATCTATCCTATCGATCCTATCTATCCTATCTATCCTATCTATCCTATCTATCCTATCTATCCTATCTATCCTATCTATCCTATCTATCCTATCTATCCTATCTATTCTATCTATCCTATCTATCTATCTATCTAACTATCTATCTATCTATCTATCTATCTATCCTTCTATCCTATCTATCCTTCTATCCTATCTATCCTATCTATCCTATCTATCCTATCTATCCTATCTATCCTATCTATCCTATCTATCCTATCTATCCTATCTATCCTATCTATCCTAGCTATCCTAGCTATCCTATCTATCCTATCTATCCTATCTATCCTATCTATCCTATCTATCCTATCTATCCTAGCTATCCTATCTATCCTATCTATCCTATCTATCCTATCTATCCTATCTATCCTATCTATCCTATCTATCCTATCTATCCTATCTATCCTATCTATCTATCCTATCTATCTATCCTATCTATCTATCCTATCTATCTATCCTATCTATCTATCGTATCTATCTATCGTATCTATCTATCGTATCTATCTATCTTATCTATCTATCTATCTTATCTATTATCTATCTATCTTATCTATCTATCTTATCTATCTATCTTATCCATCTATCTTATCCATCTATCTTATCCATCTATCTTATCCATCTATCTTATCCATCTATCTTATCCATCCATCTTATCCATCTATCTTATCCATCTATCTTATCCACCTATCTTATCCATCTATCTTATCCATCTATCTTATCCATCTATCTATCTATCTTTCTTATCTTATCTATCTATCTTATCTATCTATCTTATCCATCTTATCTATCCATCTTATCTATCTATCTTATCTATCTATCTTATCTATCTATCTTATCTATCTATCTTATCTATCTGTCTATCAATCTGTCTATCTATCTGTCTATCTATCTACCTAATCTATCTATCTATCTATCTATCTAATCTATCTATCTATCTATCTATCTATCTATCTATCTAATCTATCTATCTATTTATTTATCTATCTATCTATCTATCTATCCTATTTATCTATCTATCTATCTTTCTGTCTATCTATCTATCTATCTATCTATCTATCTATCTTATCTATCTATCTTATCTATCTATCTTATCTATCTATCTTATCTATCTATCTTATCTATCCTATCTATCCTATCTATCTTATCTATCTTATCTATCTAATCTATCTAATCTATCTAATCTATCTAATCTATCTAATCTATCTAATCTATCTAATCTATCTAATCTATCTAATCTATCTAATCTATCTAATCTATCTATCTATCTATCCATCCATCCATCCATCTATCTATCTATCTATCTCTTTCTCTCTCTCTCTCTATCTATCTCTCTATCTATCTCTCTCTCTCTCTCTATCTCTCTCTCTCTATCTATCTATCTATCTATGTATGTATCTATCTATTCTATCTATCTATCTATCTATCTATCTATCTATCTGTGTATCTGTGTATCTGTGTATCTGTGTCCCTGTCTATCTGTCTGGCTGTCTGGCTGTCTGGCTGTCTGGCTGTCTGGCTGTCTGGCTGTCTGGCTGTCTGTCTGTCTGTCTGTCTGTTGGTCGGTTGATCGATTGATCGATGGATCGATGGATCGATTGATGGATCTAGCGATCTATCAATCTATCCTATATTATCTTATCTTATCTTGCCTTATCTTATCCTTTCTTATATCTATAAATATAGATATATGCGCATATACGTTGCCGCAGCTTGCGCAGGCATGAGTCTTGACAATTCTTGACATGTATGTACTTATCCCCCTGTTTGACGACATTTGTGGGTTGCAATGATGGGCCAAAGTTACAACCAAATTTATTGATTCCAACCTTACTTTGTTTATAGAAAAGTAGTTTTTCAAAGCACATACCTACCATACCTGGT